TCTCTGATTATTACTAATGAGAGTACGACTAGCTATACATGCAACTTTTGGTTGCCTATTTAAGTAGTCTGCCCTAGATTCCACACTAGCTACTGTACCTGCATTCCAACTATGGGGATATCTATTTAAATCTTCTAGTTACAACTGCTATCTATTCCTAAACTAACCAAGGTATAACTCACTATTTATATATAGATTTTGCAACACCTGTAGATTTCGCACCCATCTTAGGATTTACTAACTATTAATAGCTAATCTATCCACAAGGTAAACCTAACAGAGTAGTCCATATTCCACACATATTTATACCTGCATGTTCGATAATTTCCTACTAACTAGTACCTGTTGTGCTGCCATCACCAGGTTCGTATCTTAAGCTATCTTTTTAGAATACTGCTATAACCTGATCTATATCTCAAGCCACAACCTTCCTAATTAGTCTTTCATTACGTACTCCTTGTCTTTGTAAGGTTCGCATGACCCCAGTATCCACATTTAGACTTTTTTTCTTCCTTGGATTCTTTACTAGCCTCTCCTTTACTTCTAGCCGGCAACTTGGAAGGGTTGATCTGCCCAGGCTTTAGGTGCCTTACGGTCTCTCTTCCCTTGGTACATGTTTTTAGAGCACATATTCTTTTCCTCTGGTTGGCAACCTGGCGGTTCAGCTGGTGTGTCTCCCACTTAAGAACCTAATCACTTGGTTCTCTAGTCTAGGTTTCTAATTTCAAATTCGGTCTTCCTGTAGCACTGTCAAAGATCATTCTACCTCCTTACTTGGGACTTGCCAAATGGGTTTTTGGTAATTCTGGTTTCTTGGATTTATTGCGCCTAAGCTCCCATTCGAGATGGTATAACTAAGATTACAGATATCTGAATCCAACCAATAATCTTAATATTAACCGATACAGATCTAGTATTTTCAAAATCATCATCCATGGGATTTGAACTCTAGACCTGCTATCTGGGGGTGCAACAACTCTACTACTTCACTAAGTCACTGCACCTTTTATTATTTATTATTATTATTATTATTATTATTTGGTGTTAAGATGACCTTTATGGCCAGGGACTTTTTATTAGACTTATTAACTTCAGATTATATAGTTATAATGAGAGTACATCAAGTCACATATGTACTTTTGGTATCTAATTTAAGTAGTCTGCCTAGGTTCTACACTAGCCACCATACCTGCAACCTAACTAGAAGATTACCTATTTAAGCTCTCTGATTATTACTAATAAGAATACAACTAGCCATACATGCAACTTTTGGTTGCCTATTTAAGTAGTCTGTTCTAGATTCCACACTAGCTACCATACCTGCATTCCAACTATGGGGATACCCATTTAAACCCTCTGGTTACAACTGCTATCTATTCCTAAACTAAGATGTAACTTACTATTCATACATAGATTTTGTAACACCTGTAGATTTTGTACCCATCTTAGGACTTACTAACCATTTTTGGCTAATCTATCCATAAGGTAAACCTAACAGAGTAGTTCATGTCCCACACATGTTTATACCTGTTGTGCTGCTGTCACCAGGTTCGTATTTCAAGCTATCTGCTATAACCCGATCCATATCTCAAGCCACAACTTTTCTAATTAGTCTTCCATTATATACTCCTTGCCCTTGTAAGGTTTGTACAGCCCTAGTACCCACATTCGGACTTTCCTTCTTCCTTGGATTCTTTACTAATCTCTTTCTTATTTTTAGCTAGCAACCTGAAAGGGTGGTCTGCCTAGGCTTTAAGTACCTTACGGTCTCTCTTCTTTTGGTATATGCTTCTAGAGCACATGTCCTTTTTCTCTAGTTGGCGACCCAGTGGTTTAGCTAGTATGTTCCCCTACTTAAGAACCTGGTTGCTTGGTTTTCCGGTCTTGGTTTTCAATTCCAAATTCAGTCTTCCTGTAGCACTGTTAAAGATCATACTACCTCTCTACTTGGAACTTGTCAAACAGGTTTTCAGTAATTCTGGTTTCCTGGATTTATTGCATCAAAGCTCCTATTTGAGATGGTATAACCAAGATTACAGATATCTGGATCCAACTGATAATCTTAACATTAACCAATACAGATCTAGTATTTTCAAAATCGTCATCCATGGAATTCGAACTCTAGACCTGCCATCTGGGGGTGCGTCAACTCCACCACTTCACTAAAAAAGTATGTATTTGTTTTGAATTGGCTTTTGTTAATAAAGATATAAAAATATAGCAAGAATAACTTCAAAAAGTTTTTGCATATTCATAATTTTAGAGTTTCTCTAACATAGTTTTAAATCTGATTTCTTTAATTCAAAATGCCTATACTATCAAAGCATAAAGTGCAATTAAAAGTGGCACTTAAATTACTGATCAAAAAGTGCAAAATAAATTTGTACAAGAAACTTATTAATAAAATAATAAAGCACTTAAAAAAAATTACTATTTACAAACTTAAAATAATATATAATAAGATTTTTAATAACTCAAATATTAATATACCCATATATAATACAACTATTCATACTTTTAATATTATACCAGAAATATAGATGGGGGTGAAATTAAAATTCAATTTTAAAAAATTTCAATTATAAAAATTAAATTCAACTGTTAAAACTGAATTTATTTTTAGTAGTTAAAATTAATTCAACTATTGAAATTAATTCAACTGTTGAAATTAATTTAACTGTTGAAATTAATTTAACTATTGAAATTAATTTAATTGTCAACCATCAAATTAATTTAACTATCAAAATTATTAATATAATTATAATAATAAGCAGCTATTATTTTAAATATCTTTTGATTGCTAGTATAAAAATTTTTAATTGATGTACTTAAATTTAAATTATTCAAGTTTATAGTGTTAATAGTATCTTTATAGAATATATTTTTTTATATTTTGTAAATTCAACATATAAATAAAAAAATAATTGAAGTTAAATTAAAATTGTAGAATTTACTATATAAACAAATGTTCTTTAATTCTATATACCTTATTAATCACTGCATTGTAGCTAGGGTTGCAGGTGGCATCACCACTGATACAATGCTTTAAATTTATATGATAACTTAATGGCATAGTAGTGGTGCACTACTTGCACTAGCAACCCTAATTGTAGCATTATATAATGCCTTTATTTTATTTGTATAAATATGGCAATAGTAGGTAATATAAAACTATTTATAACAATAAATAATATAGCACATTTGTTAACTTCTAATATTATATTTTGCACTACGTATATGTAATAAACTGTAACTACTCTATTAATTAATTAGTAATAGGATATTTATTTTTGGTTCAATCAATTATTTATTCAAGAGAGTTACTAATCTTTATTAATTTTTTATATGTAACTTATTTTGACTTTATCTATTATATCATTAATTATTTCTAAATTGATTATATATTTTTTGCTTCTTTTATTATGCACAATTTTCAACCCAATCGATCTTCACATGCTTCATGTATGCACAATTCAAATGATTAATTTTTTTTTATCTTTTTTTTCTATTTTATTATATATTTTTTTATTTTTTTATTTATTTTATTTTTTTTCATTTTTTATTTTTATTACTAGCAAACCTAATTATATAATGTTTTAAATTGATTTTTTTAACTAAGTATATTATACTTGTTTTTACCAGACAATACTATCTATAATTAATCAAGAAATTGGGTAGATCAACTCTCAGTTTTCTTTATCTATTGATATATTTTGCATCTGCATTTCTTAATTGACAAGTGTGTCAATATCAAAATTCTTTTCACCATGATCAATAACATCATCTAAAATCAAAGGCTGATTGGTATTATTTAAAGCAAGATTCAAATTAATACTATTTTTAATTTCTAGCATAATAGAAACGGCTTCAGATAAATTATTTGTAATAGAATTATTTTCAAGATTGTCTTCAATATTATCTTCAAAATCATTCTCAAAATCATCTTCAGAATTGTATAACTGAATATCTTCTTAAAACATAGCAGTATCTGAAGTAAGTAAATGAGCATAATTATGCATCATTTTTGAAAAATTGCTTTCTGAAAGATCTTGTCTAGCATAATTAAGCTTATGGCATGTATTTGTAATATAATATTTATATAATTTGGCTATATATAAAACCTTTTTTATAGTTAATCTCAAATAAAATTAAAATTAATATTGTTAAAAAATTAAAATAAAATATTACAGTATAACCACATATATATATATATATATATATATACCTATTTTGATGTTTTTGAGTAAACCAATTTAAAACAAAAAAAACACACTCACACCTTTCATTGTGAGGAGTAATTACAAGAAGTAATAAAGCAATTTTTAAAGATAGTGATGTGGCAGTTTACATGTGGACCACCAGATTTCTGAAAGTTCAAGATGATCTTGAAAAAAAGAATTGTATAGAGACAAGCAAAAATCATAATTATAAATTAGCACAATTAATTCTTATACACTATTATCTCCTCTATCTAGTAATTTCCAAATAGTTAAAGCTTTTTGATAAATTTTTTAAAATGCTTCAGAAACTAAGCCTTTACTACGATATTTGGGGTAAAGAAAATAAACTAATAGATAAAAATCAGTATCGAATTTGGCCCATCTTTTGTTATAAAAAGAAATATAATTTTTTCAAAATTCAAGTTTTTCAAAAGTTGTATCTATAATTGGTATAGCCTTAATTGTATTAGCTATTTTAATTAAAATCAAAAACACATCAGCAAACTTAATATTTGCTAATTCAACAGTTTTAACTACAATTTTGGCAAATTTGAGAACTTTATAAAGACAACAATGTTGGCCCAAAATTCATGACTTCTAATATAGCTTCTTAATTTTTTATTAAGTGCATTAGGATCATTTTCAATAATCTAATAAAGTAAATAAAAATAAAATAAAAAAATAAAATAAAAAAATAAAAAAAAAGATAAAAAAATAAATATATTAAATAGATAAAATAGAAAGTTTCAGAATTAACCTATTTTGAAAATAAGTAAAAGTTAAAAAAATCATTAAGAGATTTCAGAATTAACTTATTTTGAAAATAAATATAGGCTTAAAAGTCTTTTTTTTTTATTTGAAATTTTAAATCAGAAAATTAATTATATCTAGTAATAAAAATAAGCTTCTTCTAATAAATATCTACTGCTATCAATAGAATCAGGTAGATTGACATTTTAAAAAAAATCACAGCTCATATTTTGATAAATTTCAAAGCTATTTTAAAATTTAAAAGAAAGCTTAATAAAGATAGCTTTGAAATTTATCAAGATATAAGCTGTAAAATCTAAGGTATTAATTTTTTTAAAAAATGTTAATTTGTCTGATTTTTATTGATAGCAGCCCAAATGTTACTATAGTACTTATTTTTATTTAAAATTAGATATCTTAAAATTAATTCTAAAACTCTCTAACAAAATAACTTACATTTTGTAAAACAGGTTCCAATTTCAAAACTGAATTACAACAATCTCACGCTGAGCACTATTTAATTTTAATAGATAATTTTAAATCTTCATCTTTAATAAGAAAATTGTTAATTTCATCTCTTAATAGAGTATCAGATACATGTAAATTTTAAAAGTAAATAATGAATTCTTGATATTTTAAATAAACTTGAAACCCAAAAGAGATTTTTTAATAATATTAGTTGAATATGATGAGCAATATAACGAATTAGTATAATATAAGGATATTTCTGAGCAACAAGATTTTTTGCAAGCTATATCATAGCAGCACTATCTGAAACAATAGCTCTGAATTTGTTTAGACCAATTTCTTCAATTACTTTAATAATTTCCTTTGATAGAAAGCTTTCAGTATGTGAATAAGAAGAAAAATCTTAAACAGAATAGATATATTGATGTCTATCAGAAGTAATAATAACAAATGTATAACATAAATGGTGTGATCCACTTGTCCAACTATTAAGAACTAATTTAATAATATATAATTTATACAGTTAATACTTTATTATAAATATCATGGCTCAATCGAGATATTATTTAGTATTGTGGTACTATATTTGAAAATAAACTTATCTAAGGTCAAATTTTTAAGCTGTTTAAACTGTTCATCTGTGTTAATTGTAATTCGAGCAGTTTCTTGATCAACCCAAAGATTATTTAAGGTTCTTTGATCAGAAGGCTTATAACCCACATTAAGATTTTTAAATAAATTGATAAAAAAAAAATTTTTAACAACCCAAAAAAAAATACTACAACAAGTAAAAAAACAAGTTAAAGCTTTGTTAATAAGCTTTTCTTGACTTTGATCTATATGAGTTAATTGAAATTTGGCAGTAATTTTTGAATTATTATTAATTTCAACTTTAATTTTCTTTTTTTTTTTTTGAAGATTTGGAATTTTTTTTTTTTTTTTGTTGTTAAGGTGAGGTCTTGCTCATATTTTTATTTGGTAATTTATTAGAGTAATTATAATAAAAACCCTGTTTGTACAAGATAAATAGTTATAAATTACATGCAAGAATAAGAGCTCAGACTAAAAGATTGGACTAGAAAAACCTAAATACTCAAGCTT